GGGGTGCGGAGAAAAAAAAATCCCCCGCAAAAAAAAAAAAAAAAAAAAAAAAAGTAGAGTTGTGAGATGATCTCCTGTATATTCTTAAATGCAGGCTTGCTTACGGTATCTCATCACGTGAGGTTGTGCTGAACAATGCAATAGATGTGGAGATGAGAAGATGCAAAAGCAAGCAGGCTTGCTTTTTCAGGGGGCAGAAAATACCTTTTTCTGAAAGACCTTGTGTGTGTGTGTGTATGTGTGCGCGTGTATATATGTATATATAAAAAAAAAAGTTTCATTAACATCAAAACAGACAAGCAGTGCTTCAAGCTATGTGGTATGTCATCTGAGTTGTGTTCCTGTGGATGCCTGGAGAAAAATACTTGCAGTAGATTTGCTGCAACTGTGAGCTACAACTTTTTCCTTTGTTTTCCCTCAATTTGAAGAAGACATGTTCCAGGCTGTTAAATCAAGATGTAAACATCAGCAAAATAGCTCTTGATAGACATCGATTATATTTCCTAAGGGAAATATAATGATGGTGGAGAAATTCACGTTGTCCTGTTTTCTTAGAAGTTCTCTTCCTTGAGGTTCTGGAGGAGTCAAAGCAAATCAAACCAAATGAAGTGAATACATGAGCCGAAGTATTATACCCCAAAATTGATGTTCCAGACATCCTTTAGATTTCTGTAGTTTACTCCTACTGAAAGACGATTAGGTTAAAACAGCACACAAGACCTCTGCTGTCTTGGAAATCTCTGATAAGAAGTCGTGTCTCCCTCAAATCCTGGTATATCTGAGCCGTATTCAGCAAGCATCTTCTTAATTGCCTGGCTGACTTGAAGCTGAGCAGTAATTTTCCTTTCACTTACAAGTATTTGGAAATGCTTCATGTTAATATATAGAAATGTTGAAAATATAGGGGGATAAAGTACATATTTAAAAGAATTGTGGCTTCTAATATGCAGCTTGTTGTTATTCAGCTTTTCATTTGTTGCATTGATGTGTAACTTCTACTGTAAAAAAAGAAAAAGCTAAACCAAAGAAAAAGTTATTAATGCAGAGAGTAATTCAAATAGCTCTGTATTAACCATAATTTCCATTCTTAACATCTGAAGTATGTTCTGGAATCTGGATATTATTTAGTTGTTAGAGAGAGGACATGAACTCTGGGCAGCCTGATCTCATATTTGGGGACTGCTGTAAAGTAGGAAATGTTGATGGGGAAATCTGCATTTCCTTCATTGCACTCATCCTGCCTTCACCGGGTTAATGACGGAGTGCAAGGTCTTCAACACAGCTATAGTTGATTTTCATGCTGTAAATGAGGCTACAGTTTCAGCATGTTGAAGCTT